AATATTAACAAGCTGAGAACTGGTCCAATAGAGGCCGATCGCGAACTGAAAAGGTCACAGAATCGGTGAACGTTACACAAATCGTTACAGCTGCAATTTCCGAATCTCCAAGAAGGACGTAAATTAGCGATGACGATACATCTGCACCAGCGCGGAAAGTGCATAAAATTTCTGAAAATGATAATGCGGCATCGAGATCTGCCAATGTCAATCAGCAAAGGATAGCGATAGATAATTCTGATGCGACACTAACTTCCGCCGTTAATCTGGTAACATTCATTTCTGAGTATATATTTACAAATCCAGGCAAATTTTTTGAATATATATAATGAGAGGATAGATAGTGAACAAGATCTGAGAATTTACTAATCAAATAAAGAAATGAGATTTGAATTTAAATATATCAATATATTTATATAGAAAATATCATACTTACTATTAATCTTTAATAGCAATGTGTTCTTGTTGAAGGTAGTCATCTGTAAGCACATGAACATCTATCATACAGATAGGCCAAGTTTTCACTAGTAGCAAAGTGATAGATCCAGGATAATATTAAATACAACCTATGAAACTTCGAATTATATTGATATAAACTTATTGATGCGTAAATTTATACCAAAGAACAGATGTATTACTGAACAACCATTTTTAGCAAACAAACATACATTTTTGATCCTAATAATCAGCTTTTATCAACTAAAGAATATCTTGAAAAACCAGAAATTATACAATAAGATTTTAAAGTTCTTTATTATCTAGAGAATGACTTTATAAGGGCTCTTGGGGTTCACAACACTACTGCTCAATCATATTGGCGCTACAAATGTAAAAAAGATCATCTTAGACTCTACATTTAAGATAAATCAAGAATGCTTTGAGCTCTTTGTTGTAAACTCTAACTGTGATGGATACGGAATGCCAGTAGCATACCTATATCTTTTGACATGTTATGATACGGAATGCCGGTAGCATACCTATATCTTTTGATATGTTATGATACAGAGGAGGTATATCATGATCTCATAAATAAAATTAAAATGTATATACAAGCACTGTGCGAGTTTTTTAACAGACTATGACAAGAAGGACTACTGCCAATATTTGTTTTGCTAGATAAGAATGCAGAAGAAATATTAGCTATAGTAGATGCTTGGTCAGAAGAAGCGAATTTGCAGCTGTATTACTGGCATTTGGAGCATGACATCAAGCGATGTCAAAGAATAAAAATCAAGAGTCTCTGGTTATTCAAAGAAAAAGTGATAGAGCAAACAAGCAATTTAACTTTATCAAATTGTCATGGATTCTGAATAGTGAGGAAATTATAAATATGATCAAACGGCATACTAATATGCATTCACTAATACCAGTAGAGAAAAATATTTTTTGGAATTCTGCGCAAATTTATCGATATTATGTAGAAGAGATGTATCAAATTTGTCATAATAATAATCTTTCCAGCTTGTGAGGCTACCTGTGGATAAATTGGTACAATAAGAAAGACTGAAAATTGTTTGCTCATTCAGCCTATCTATCAGCAATGCCTCTAGCTCGGATCACAATGATTACTGATGAGTGTTTAGATATATAATTATAATCGTCCCCATCTTGATCGACTTATACAGATTATTGCTGAACAGTTAATAACAGATTTCGATCTAAAACTTACTCAGTACCATACAAATCGCAGTTTTCTAGCGTGATGGCAGGTCTTCAAGAAGGATTGGAACAAAGCAGCAGCCACGAATATCACATCTGACATAGACGAGTGATATCATATTAATGTGGTCAACTGGATATATTCATGTCCAGCATATATGTAGCCTCTACCTCATTTGTAAACATTTAATTACAAAAAAAATGATAATAGTTTTTTACCTACTTTCATAGAAACGACACGTCATCATGAATATCCTCTAATTTTTTTGGTACTAATAAAATACTAGTAAATTGTCGAGAAAATGATTCCTGGAAGAGGTATGGATCGATTATTATAGAAGATGAGCATACTAAAGGATCAAGTTCACAAAATACAGTATTGACAGTAAGAAATAGTAAAGTGAATGATGCAAAATTAAAAATAAAAATTTAGATCATTTTTCAATTTATTTGATTTTCGTCAATTTATACACCTAATATTTAATTGGTCCTCCATTTGATTCCAATACTGCATTAATTCTTCGTGGCATTGATGCAGTAACCCGTTCTAAAATGGCCACATCAAGTTTTTCCCACTCCATCTTCAGTGCAATCTTATGTTCGTTCACAGTCGTCGGAAAGTTCTCATTTTTTTGAATATTATCCTTTAATACCTTTAAATGTTCTCTATTGAATTCGAATTCGCCGACTAATTAATAATCAATGTTTTATTTTCCCTTGATTTTTCCCGCAGTATGTATCGGCGCATTGTCATGTTGAAAGATTGTATAACTTCTAGTTAATTCCCTAATTGCGTTCTGGAATGGAAGTAATTAAGTTTTTAAGATTTCAAGGTAAGTATTTGCAGTTATTTTTTCGCCATTTTTTTATATTCATCACAAAAAATTAATGGTCCTTCCGCGAAATATCCCCAAATCATTACAGATTTTTGTCCACTTTTAAAGGTAGGCACCAAATAATTAACGTTAAACGTTTCTTCAGGATACTGCCAACTCTTGACTGCCGTGACTGCTTTCCAATTTCACACTAGTTTCATCAGAGAAAATTATCATAAGCTGATTTATTTTTATTTTCTTCACACCATTTAATATGAGCATATGTATGTGTTTCCGAGATATAAGGTTTCTTAGCTGCGATACGTGAGTTAAGTCCGGAGTTGTGCAATACATTTGTGACGGTTGATAAACTACAAGTGAGGCCTAAATTGTTGACTATTTCGCGTAGTGATGCATTTCGTTTTTCGCTAGCTTCATGTATAAGTAAATCCTTTTTAAGGCTGGTGATCTTCCTGAACGTGGTAAGTTTTCACTTTTTCTGGTAAGTGGCAAAAGATAAACAAAGTGATGTTTATTATTATTATCAAAAAAGGGAGAAAACTTGATAAATGTATTTTTAAAAAATGGTTACACGCGTAAATCGGGCGATACTTTCTTTGGGGTCTATCATTAAATAAACATGTACATGCACATGTATTATATTTTGCCATGTGATTTTTCCTTTCATCACAAACGTTTATTTTTAAAAATCTGTTCCATTATATTTTGATTTTTGCTTTATAAGTCAATATTCATAATGATTTTTTACATTTTATTTATTATCCTTATTGCTTTCATGTCCTTGGCTTTGCTTCCAGTCCAAACAAGGGTAATACCAGTAAGTGTATGTTACCATATGAATATGTACATATATTAAACATCTGTTTTTACATGTGATTTATTATTTAAAGAATGAACCTCCGCTTGTTCCATATCGAATCCCTATAATCGGCCATGCTTTTTCTCTTCAAAAAGATCCGAAAAATTTTCTTAAAAAATTACGTAAACAAGTTGGTCTTAACTATTATTGAGTTTACTATTTTTCAATTTCATAATGCCATAATGTGAAATTAAATAATTCAATCTTCTTTTGAAGTATGGTCACATATTCTCCATCTATTTGTTTGGTCGCATTGTCACAATAGTTGATAGTGAATTTATGCATGAAGTTTATGATTCGGACGATTTGAGCCTCACAGCAAATATTGAGGATGTATGTGCACTAATTCCTCAAAAAAAAAATGGTGATCAATTTTCTAATTACGCTTTTTCTTTACTTTAGTGGATTCCATTCAAATTACATTTTGGAATTGATACATTTACTTGTGGAGAAGTAGTGACGAAAATCATACGTAAATATTTGCATTCGTCCAAAGATATAAAGATTTTCTCGGAAAGACTCGAACAGACGTTTACCACAATAATTGAACATCGAATCGGAAATTGTAAAAGTAATTACGATTGCAATTTACATTATTTGTTTAGGGAATGAAGACTAATATTAAGGAAGTTTATAATAAAATGGATATTAGCTAAAATTTAATCGATTATATTTAGATCCGAGAACGATCGATTCCTCCTTGAATCTCATAACGGAAGGATTTGCTCGTTCACTTACTTGTATTTTATTTAATGAGGAGGTAATCTAGTATATTATTTCTTTGCTCGTGAATTTAATTAACCATTTCTAAAATATAGAAACTTTGTAATGATCGAGATATTCTGGACGCTTTTGTTTCTTACGGAAGTCCGAATGGTGATAACTATTCAACTATTATGTTATTAAACTTTATACATCCATGGTTTTATCATTTTATTGTGTGAGTCTTTTGATTTGAATATTAATAAGATTATTATGAACATATATTAATGAATTGTTCTTTATTTCTAAAGGAAATACATCAATAATCCAGCGAAGAAAAACCTTGATATTTTAATGCGAAAAATCAAACCGTATATCGCAAAAAGATTTGAAAATAGAATCAATAATGATAAAAAGGACCAAGTATTCGATGGAAGCAATAAAATTTGATTTGATTTTATATTTTCAGGATGATTTACTTTTTATCTCTCTAAATCCTTTTCGGCAGAAAAGCATTGATTTTCTTCAAATGATTCTTAGCGTATCCAACTTCGACAAAAATAGTTTTGATGAATTGCTGCTCGGAAGCGTGCTTATGCATATTACATTTGCAATACTTTATCCGACATCAACTTTTTGTAACGCTGTAATTCTTGGTATTTAGAAGATTTCTGGTCTTGAATTGCATGTAAAATTAGACTCATTATTAAATTAGCTTATTAATTTTAGAATACGCAACTCGACTTGAGTACTGGCAAGAACTTCAAGATGAGCAATCGAATATTGTGCAAGAATATGGAAATAGTCTTTCATATGAAAGTGTGTTAAAGATGGAAAAATTGGATAGCTTTATAAAGGAGTCAGCTCGTACTTATGGCACTACACATATATGTAAGTACATGTGTTATTATTAGGATAACCTAGCCATGGCAAAAAAAGTTACGGGTTAATCGAATCGTAAGATATGAAATGTTAATAATGTTTCATTGAGGTTAGGGTTAGAGCTATTTGATTGGTTTACCCGCTAAAAATCACATGACTCGTAGCTATTTTTGTCCACGACCATATTTTTATTATTACATGTATCATCATTAATATTATATTACATCTATTTAATAATTTACTGTTAATATTATAATAGTTATGCATGATCATAAAGTAATCGGAAAGAAGTTCACTTTCTCTAACGGCATTGAAGTTCCATATGGTATAGATTTGTACTTGATTGATTTAATAAAAAATATTACGGAGACTAAAAATTATTCATTTTTTTAGGACGTCGCATTGCTTTGGATTTCTCAATGATACACGGAGAAGAAAGTGGGATTCGTAATGCGGATATGTTCGATGGGTTCCGTTACGTGGGAATGAATTCGTCTTTTACTTATATAAATCGCGAAGTGCTCACTTTTGGATTGGGACGTCGCGCTTGTCCTGGAAGGAATTTTGCTACTTATGTAATCAAGGTTAGAAAAATAAAAAATCTATTTCGATGCATGCATATTATATTGAATTTCTCGTTTTTCAGGTTTTCCTCTCTCTTTTGATTCGTAAATATAAGATTACTACAAAATCTGGACAAAAATCGCCGTATAAAGTTATAATGGGATCTGCATTGCCTTTGGAAGAGACTTTGATTTTTCAAAATCTTTAATATAATTCATTTTACATTCCTTATACTTTTAATATTTGCAATTTCACGAAAGGGTTTTCATTTCCATGGCTTGTTTATATTGAACTTATTCTAAATAACGGTGGATATTTTTCAGGTTCAATTGAACCTTAATAAATTTTGATTTAACATTTTTAAGTATTTGAATCACAATACCTTTTTCGAATTGCCATTCTGTTTTGAGTTGTGTATGCACTTACAATATCAGTTAGTAAATTTCCATTTATGGATATCGAAATACAAATACAGTCGCGCTCATAACTCTTTAAACGTAAATTCTTATTTTTTTTGGTTGATTTTATATAGGAGTCATATTCTTATTGCATACTTCCTCTAAATGCATATTAAAATATTGGTTAGTTAATATTTTATTCATTTAGAAGTATATGCATTTGATGATATCAACTGTAGTATCGTTCTTACAACCATAAACATAATTACAATGTGCAGTTATAATAAACTTTACGTATAAAATCAGAACTTGTAAAAAAGTATTCACAAGTAAAATTAGTCATTAAAATGATAATTTCCTGTGTACTAATTATTTCCCAAATCAAGGTATGCTTGATACGCTAATTACTAGTATTGAGATATTGTATATTTTTCTTCATCACAATATCCCGATTCATCATAATATTGATTAGATAGCTTTCTAAATTAATATCATTTTTATTAGTGTTTGAACTTATTTGTTGAGTAATTTATAAATTTTTAAGTTGTGAAGGTATCATGTGATGTAAGTTAATTTGTGTACACTATTTAAACATGAATTTGTTATCATTATGTAAATACATATAATAAAAAATGCTCATAAGTACAATCTAATTTATATCACATTTGATAATAAATAATACAGAATCTATAATGTAAGACTTATAGAATTATTGCTATCCATGCATATACTTATACTTAATAGACTTTATTAAAAGTGAAGGATGATTTGAAAAGTGTTCAAAGTATCTATTTGAGCATGCTAGTATTGTGTTTTGGTAAATTCTATTTTATTTTTGTTATATCTTTTTTATTACTATTGTTGTTATTATTTTTTTTTATTATCTCAGATGAGAGATGTATAGTTAGATGGTACAAGACAGGATTTTCAAGTTCCAATTGAGAAAACTTTAATGTTATTGATAATAATATAAACTTGAGAATATAATTTTCTTTATAGTATAGCTCTATATAGTTTCTTATTATTTTGCAATAAAATAAAAAATCTCACTTCTTTCATTTATTACTCTTCTTTTTATATAACTTTTGTAACTTCCTATCCTGATATAAAAAAAGCATTTCTGGTAGTCTGATAGAAAAATACTGTTACCGTAATGACATAAAATTTCTTAATTTCTTAATCTTTCCTTAGTTATGAAAAACTATATTTTATTATAATTTTTATTCATTTTATAATTATTTCTATTTTCATATCATTTATTACTATATTTATTATCACGTTTCTACTCTATTTTTAAATATTATATCTTATTTAATATTCAGGATCTATATTTTTATTATCTTGTAATATGATATTTATATATATAGTAGAATAGTTTAGTAGAAGATCATTTTTAATTTTGGTAAAACAATTATACTTGGATAATAATCTCAAATATTTTTCTATATTCTTTAACATTCTTCAATATTCTCTTATGTTCTTTCACATCTTTCTATATCTTCTCATATCTTTTTATATCTTTTAATATCCTTTTATATATTCTGATATTCTTCAATATTCTTTGATATCTTTCAACATACTTCAATGTAACTTATTCATAATTAATTATACTATAGTATTTTAATTATATAACTTATATATTAGATAGTATTAGCTAGTAATATTATAGTAATTTTTGTATCTGAAAAATATATAAAAAGATCTGTTATCTCAGCTTGAAATAAATAGTTTTGAATTGAATTGTTTGAAAAATATAATTTTAAAGATTACTTTTTTAATCTAATTATATTAGTACCCTTTCTTTCACTTGGTTTTATTCCTTTGACCATATAAAATTAATTTTGGATTTTTGGATTATAATATTATATTGATTTTTGATTTTTGATATTATTTTAAAAGTAAAAGATCTCTATTATAAATAAGCTATA